CCCCCCCAAACCTCCCTCTTTCTTGTCTCTTCATAAATAACCACTACATCAGCACTTCTTGGTGTCAATGAAAGAAACTGAGAGCAAACGTCTTGGTTTGAACAATAAGGGAATATGAAAATTGTCAGGGTGCAGTCACACATACTTCAGTGAGAACAACATCGACACAGCCACCCCCTCCATCATAACACATAACACACAAAACATAAAAAGCACATTAACAAACAAAAAAGAAGACAACAACATACACATACCGGTAACACACATGTAACATCAAACATCCAAACAGTGAAATAGCAATAATAGCTAAGGTAAAACTATTTAACGTAACCATATCAAAAACACCGTCTGCACGATAGTAGCCTACAATCAAATCTTTGAGAAGGTGAACGAAAATAAAAGTGAAAAAGAAAACTAGCCCCCACACTGATGATAAATTATGCGGAAAAGCGACTAGACAGACAAACCATTAAAACCCGAACAATAATTCCCAAGTCCTTTCCGACTTCAAAGTGCAAAGAAGATTGGCACGAACATCAAAGGGAGGTTGCACGCTAAAATTTAATGAAACATCAAGGTATGTCCGACATTCGATTTTTTTACGGAGCGCTGCTGGAGACTGAGAAAGGAAAGCTTATTTGTGAGTCGTCACCAGCGAGACAGAGGTCTTTGGCGCACTGCACAATTTGCTCATCCAGGCAGAGCACAGCACGGAAACATTACAATTATTCCAGGATTTTGAAAGACGTTACGATGATTGCTACCATTTGTTACGTCTGAATCCAGCCGTATGTATGTAGATTATCCATTAGATCTAATATGCTGCTTTCTATCGATGTTTTGAAACGCCGGTAGGCAGCTAAAAAAATCTAATCGTAATTGATTTTACTAACAGCAAGTGCCTAAAGCAGAAATACTAATTTTCAGAAGACGAGTTTGATGGAATATTCTTTAGGCATTTACAACGAATTTGTGCAACACCATAACATCGCAATTCAAGGCAGTTCATGCTCATTCATGCCACATTTCAAGTCAGAAGCTGAGAAAAACAGCATTGGAAGTGAACTCAATACTTGCTTTTTTGAAGTTTATATGCTTGAAAATATTTTCTTGCAAAGCAACACTCAAACACTTTCATCTAAAGCACGAAACGAAAGGGAAGCTGACGAAATGATGTAAAAGAAGGAGGAAGTTTTCTAGTAGAGTCTAGGCAAACCATTAAGAAGACAGAAAACAATCGTGTGCCTACCTGGTTGACAAACGTACTTGACCTCCGCGTATTTAGGGGTCAAATGGCATGGGTCACCAAATACGTCATTGTTGACCTTCATCAAGCACTGGGCTCGCCCGTCACATCTGGGGACGACAAGGAGTAAACATTTTTGGTAAGGCACATAATTCGTGAGGCATCATCGTGAAATCAAGCGCTCGGCAAAATAGTGAAATCAAAGAAACCAGCATTTTTCTGGGCGTTTAGCGATTATTATTATTTTTTACGAACTTTCTTTTTTTGGCTCTTTTTATGTCCAATAAAAAGTATATTTCTGCTAGATTTTTTTGCGCTGATAAAAGGGACAATGTTTAAAATTTTTCATCAGTTTCCAAGGACTCTCTAGTTATGGAAGTCACCAAACCTCTGCCGCCATTTACTGCTGAAACCTAGCGACCCCACCTCCTCCAAACGCAAATATCTCGATTTCTATTCAAGATAATCGGATAGATTTTTAAAAATAAAAGCAATACAAATGAACAAGCTTCAAGAAGATGCCAATAACTCCACTTGCCCAAAAATCGACGGCGTCGCGACAAATTTATTCATCGTGTTTGTTTCACGGTCTCAGCAAAACATTCTAGATCAACTAGGAAGTGGGCTGCTCCGACCCTCCCTCTCTGTCGGGCTCAGATAAGTGGGCTACAGCTTTCCAGAAAGGCACAAGAAAATGTATGACAAAACAAAACTCAAACCACACCCCCCCCCCCCCTTAAAAAACAACAACAAAAAACAAACAAACACAAAAATAAACAACAACAACAACAACCAACCAATAAACAAACAAACCAACAAACCAACAAACAAACAAACAAACAAACAAACAAAACAACAGCAAACACCCCACCAACTAGGGAATCAGAAGCACGTCTACTGCATACAACGACAGAGAGTTAAACTATGACGCCACAGACGCTGATCAAAAAATGGTCTAAATTGTGTAAGTTTTTAGTTTTAGTGGAGTTTTACGCACTTGCAACACGATGAGGTCATATAAGTGCCTAAGAATAGAGGTGTTACAAGATAGTAACATTCACAAAAAGGAAGAAGGAGAGATAAGGACGGTAGATATTTGAAAGGAAAGGAGCAAACCACACCAGAGCACCCACCAAAGTTAAACTAATGTCTTTGCAACAAAGCACGGTTTTGACAAGAGGGGGGACCTCCAAATCCAATGTCCGTCTCCGATAGGACCAAACTACATGGACAAATTCGTGTGAAATGCCTTTTCCAAGAACACAAAGTCGGCTTAAACGGAGTCTCGAAGCCCCGAACCCACAATTTCACGATTACAAGTCCGGTAGCCTACCCACTACACTACCAACGCCACCCTGCTGACTGGTCAAAACTAAAGCAATACAGACGGACAAACAAATTGCTTCCTCCTAGCTTGTTTCTCTCTCTCTCTCTCTCTCTCTCT